TGAAATTCAAATTTTTACAACATTGGATTTTCACTCGATTACTCATGTAGCGATTTCCTTATTTTGTTGCAATTCAAAAACGAACAACTGTAGATACATGAAAATTTCACTGAATGTTTAAATTAGCATTTTCTATACACCATACAATTTTGAAAATATTTTGACTCTTTTTGAGCTGTTTATGGACATTTACAGCTTTCAATTTTTTTTAGTTTTTTTTTCTATAAATATCAATTAAGGTGTATCTGTTGGGCCAAAAAGTGTAAAAATTTAATACAAGGCTCCTGATATATTGTTACAATATCAGTTGAAAAATATTAAAAATACATAGGCATGATTTTTTTTATAAGCATTTAAAGTTGGAATTTTGACAAAATTTATCAAAATCTCGAAAATTATCAATCGTTGGAATTAAAAAATTATAAAATGTTCAGTTTTTATAACTAAGAGTTGAAAATTTAAAACAAAGATTCTCTTAAATAATTCATACTGTAACCAAAAAATCTAAAAAATATATAAACACACTTATTTTTTACAGACATTTTAATTTCAAATTTAGACAAAATTTCATATTTAAACCAAGAATTACGATTTTAGTTATTTTGTTTTGATTGAATAATATTATTCGTGGGTACTTGAAACTTCTAAAGTGTACTATTATATATCTATGATAGTATCACGGTTTTTGTTGATGTATAACGCGTTATAAGTATCTAATGGATATTGTGATATGATTAGTTTGTAATTTATTATAGGTACCTATAATAGGTCAATTTTTTGTTTAATACCAATATACCATAGATATGTATATAATATGTCTTATACATAGACTGACATACCGTCACCGCTCAGAATCGTTTTTCTTATACAATGATATTATATCATTGAATTCAAATTTAATACCATCCATTATACAGTGACCCACTTGTAACCTACTGTACAGCAGAGCGACACCCACTTGCCCACCTTTTGTTTATATAGATTTATATTATATAGATTTACCTATATTCTATAACTATTTTTAGTATATTTTTTGTTCTATCTTGAACCCTTCAAACACCACATCCATAGGCTTTAGCAGTTTAGCGAGTATACCAACCTTGTAATATTACATGTAATCTCAATTGTATCATACATTTTGATCGTTATTTTTAATTTTATTGATTAGGTACCTATATTTAATATTATTATTATTCAATGTTAATATATAATTCTTACTTAGATCATTGTAGCATAATGTTTTTAATTGACATAGCTTTTTTTTAATGTTTTTTTTTTACTTGCTTGTTTACCTGCAATTTAATTTAGTGCTAATCCTAAAACCCTACTAAACCTCTTATAGTATCTCATTTTTTTTTAATCAGATTTTAAATCTATATCCTATAATAGGTATATATAATTAAATATAATACATTTTGTACGTATATTTTTTTATCATAAAATAGGAGGAAAATTATTTTTAAAGTTATCATTCTATGATCGCCATACATTTAAAATGTATATGTTTTATTTATAATCAACTTTAATATTCTATGGACTATGGTATATTATAGCAGCTATTATAACTTAAAGTGTCATTTAAATTCTATTAAGATTAGTACTTTACATATTTAAATTGTTCAACTACTCGATTTATAAGCATACATATATATATATATTTTTTTTTTAGATTTATGAGTTGTGATTAAAAATAATTCTTAGACACCAGATTTAGTTTAAGTTGTCTTAGCCTCGTAATATCCCTTGTGGGTAATATTATATTCAAGCGCATTGCGAAATATTCTTGATTCGTATTTTGTTAATTACTTTTTTATCTGTTTACTTTGAAACTTTTTGGCACACGTATTTTGAATTAATAATGCATTGGTTGATTTGTATTTTAAGTGATTAAACTCTCGCTATTATTTTATACGCCTTGGGTTTTAAAAGCATTTTGTTAAATTTCTATGAATGATGACTTTTAAGTTTTCACTATGATGGTTTTTATTTTGTTTTAATCTTCACACAAAATAAAAATATAGTATTTTTAAAATCATTAATTATATAATTGTATTTCATCTCAGTTTTTACTTAAATGACATACCTATTAACATTAAAAAGTATATTATCATGTTTGAAGGTATTGTATTTTTAATAATATTTGTTATGCATATTAATGGAAACAATGGATACCTAATGCGAGACAGGCCTTTATTAAATTTATTGCCTTCATATATTATTACGATAAAGTTATAGATAATTGATAAAATCACATTGGTCAAAATCTAAATTTTTTAGAAAATCATGAAAATGTAATGATTATTACGTGTTCTACTCGTATATGTGGAATAATTTATTGAGTGCTAAATATTATATAAAACATTTTGTTTTGCTCTATACATTATATTCAAGCAATAATAACCTATATTGAATATTGCATATTGTTATTCATGTGAGATTGCATATTTGTATCGGTTAATCACATGAAATGTCCATTATCGGTTACATAGTATCCATTAAATAAATTAGTATAATAATAGGTAGACAGCTAACTTAAAATATATTTTATATAGACTCTGTTATTTGGAATTTTGGTGTGTTGTGACTTGTGAGTAAAATGTTTTTTAAAATTATTAATTTTAAACAAAAATGAATTGTATAATACATATTAAAATAAACTTTGGTTTTATGATATTAATTTAATAATAATGAAACTACGGAAATTAAAAGAAAATAAGCACGGCTTTTATAAAATATATTTTAAGTTAGGTAGGTATCTATTATTATAATAATACCTACATTGAATGGATGCCCGACAACCAGCAATAAATATTATTAGTTTAATTTAGTGTTTTATTTATATGCATAATATATTATTATTATAAAATAAGTCTTAAATGTAAATAGTAGTGGGGATTAATTTTTAAAGACAAAAAAATAAAAATAAAAAATATATAAGACCTAAAACTAAATGGATTAATATTTAATTTACGATTTTATTTAAAAGAGCTAGACTATTAGCGTACAGCGAATTGTCGTCAAATATTATTAATATGCCAGTCTGATATATTAATTTTTTTTGATCATGTTAATGATCTAATATTTATTTTTGAAAATTTAATATTTGTAAAAAAAAAACATTCGAAATCATCTATTATTCGGTCATAAATAGTTGATACCTAATACAAACAATAGGCGCCCTGCCTGCAGAAATACAAACCAGGGGGGGGGGCAAAGTCAAAATCTCTGATAATACAGCACATACTATTTTTTTTTACAATGGATAAAACAATCATACTAACTAAAATAGCTGGGTGGGGTATTTCCCCTCCCTGCACCCCTGCGGGTGCCAATGAATGCAAATACAGAAGATTAAAAGAAAAAAAGTAAAGGTGTACTCAATGATAATATACCTAGACGTTTATATTTTGACAAAATGGCACGTGTTATAGCACATTACATCACTTAATTTAATTAGTCAAGTACCTACAATTCATTATACGTAAAAATGTAAATTAGGCAGAAAGGATACCTCTGGGACGTAATTCACTTCGTTCAAAAACGACCTTACTCTTTTCACCTACGTCTTCTTTTCGCCCAATAATTGTTTCATACATTTTGCCTACAATTTTACGTTCAACGTTTTGGGAAGTATGACTCAAACTAATTTACGTTTAATATTTACTTATTAGTTATTACTGCTTAGGCATTTATTTTTTCTATCTAGCAAATTAGTTTAATAAATTAATTTATACCATTACTCTAAAGAGAATCACGAGGAGCTTATATTAGTCTCCAAAAAGTTACTATGTTTTTATCCATTGTTAATAGTTATTTTAATATTATTATACATTGGTTACCGGCTCCCCCCCCCCCCCCCGAAATATCATCGACATTTTTTTAGAATCTGAGTGGAACGAAAGCTAGTGTTTTTACAATGATGTTTTTTTTTTGTACTCGTATACCTAATAATTAATTATATGTTATGGAAAAAATTAAATGATTTAAAAAAATTTAAATGATACTGTTAGCACACACATAATAGTATATTGTGTGGCAAGGGCGGGAAATAGCCTTCCCGCTCGAGCCACAAATACTATTTTTTGTCCGCCTATAACGATATGTGCACCCGGCACTTTTGGGGATTTCCACTTTAAAGCCCGGGCGCCCTGTCACTTTTTGGGATTTCCACTTTACCGCCCGGCACTATTAGGGATTCCCACTTTACCGCCCGCTGGTCGCAAAAAGGACGCTTTCGAGCGCATTCAACCGCTATCGAAAACCAAACTTTCGGTGCAGGTGTGACAAAAATATATATATATGGGTAATCGTATATCATATAGCTGGGTATAAGGTAGGTAACATCATGGGCACCCATTGGGGGGGGGGGCAAGACTTTTCCCCCCTGGAAAAAATATTATGAACTTGTAGCTCAATAAATATTACCACAATATTATCTTATTACAGAGGCAAATTATTTGTTGAAATCAGATATGAAATAAGTATAAAAATATATTCATTGTTATCGCATATAATAACATCATAGATGATATGTGATGTGCAGTGACAGAAATACAAAATACTGTAGGAGTAATTAAAGAGGTTATTAATTTTTTAAAGTGTAAAATTGGTTTCAAATATACTACTTTTGTGTGATACTCGTTGGTCTGCGAAATATAAATCTATTCGTATTTTTGTTGAAAACTTTATTAATATTAAGTTAGTTTTAGAAAAACTAACTCATAATAATGACTCAGATTTTAAAGTTAGCACCACTACTCGCACAAAAGCACACCGACTATCATGTGCGACATCAACATCACAATTTATTATATCTTTAAGTATTATATTCAAATACTTAGCTCAACTAGAACCAGTTACAAGTAAACTGCAGGCAAAATCTATTGATTTATACTCAGTCTAAAATCATATTCAAGATTTATTAACTATATTTATTATTTAATAATAATAGAGAACAATCAGATATCGTTGTTATTGATATTTTTAATAACTCCGTATTTATGGCAGAAAAAATTGGAGCAGAAATTAAAATTCCACGTATTACATCCGAACAAAAAAATAGAATAAATTACGAAACCGATTCTGCTGAACACTATTACAGACTTTCTATTTTTATTCCGTACTTGGATTCACTAATATCATCTCTTTCACAACGATTTTCAAGTATAAATACAATAGCATTCTCAATAAGTCTACTGCATCCTACAAATATTGAAAAGTACACCATTAATGATTTCAAAGAAAAAATTAAGCTGATTAAATCGAAAATATGATAGAGGAATCTAATATTTGGTATCAGTATTGGATTGATAAAAATTTGATTGACTCCCAGTGTGATGAAATTTCGTTTATTGATTTATTGGCTCATTGCGAATATTATTATCCTGCAAATTGTTCAAATACTTTATATTTTTATATCACTGCTTCCAACAACGTGTACAATAGAAAGATCGTTCAGTACATTAAGACTAGTAAAAACGTGGCTTCGCTCGACTACAGGAGAAGATCGTTTAAAATTTAAATGGGTTGTGTATGATGAGCCTTCATCGTGAATAAGTTAACGCAAACAAGGATACTTTGATTCAGGGTGTCATTAATATGTTTGGAATAAAACTAAGAAATTTGCAGTTCTTATTTACTGATACCGAATAATATACTTAATTATATTATTTAATTTCTATTATTTTATATACTTATTAAAATTATTATTTATTTATTTATTTATTTATTCGTATGGCAATTATTATGTTCAGAATCTAATATAACATGCATGTATACATTTATATGTGAAAAATAACATTAAATCTTTATTATCTTACATTCGAAAATTTTTTTATTTTGACCCCCCTAAAATGTTACCTATGGGCGCCCATGGGTAACATACATAGACCCTCGTATAAAATAAACCCAATAATATAAAAACCACGTAATTGATAAGAAATGACACAGTACTAATTAGTAGGTATCTACCTAAGTTAAGATAAATTTGTAGTACCTATAATAATCACGATTGTCCTTTATTAACTAAATTGGAAATTACCGTTTAACAGGGCTGACTATTTTATCCATTCATAAGGGAAATATAATCCCTATGAATCAGGAACTGTTCAAATAGGTAAGGAAATAAAAATATAAATCATTTCTGTGATTTTTCGACGAAAAATTGTTTTTTTAGTTGGTTTCTGGATTGAGACACATATTATATTATAATATACCTATATATACAATATACATGGAATTATTATTAACCAAATACAGGCGCGTAGCTAGAAATTTCAAAGGGGGGGTGTTATTCAAACTTAAGAGGACGCTAAGACGCGTGTGTTGTCTCTGTCTTACACACGCACGACATAACAAATTGTCGTTCACTATTTTCAATAGTGAGCTGTTAGTTTTGATACTAGAGTGAATCGACATATTATCAAACTTTTAGGTAAGAACATTATCTGGGTCTTAGCTTGGGCGATTTTTCGATACTTTCACTTTTGAGAAAAATAAGTGTATGGAAATATTAAAAATGCTCATATCTCGCTTGAAAATTATTTATTATACAAACGTATTACAACTTACCCGTGAATAGATAATAGTTTAGAATAATATTTCTCTTATATAATATTATTCAGTTCAGCGACGTCCGTCGTCCGTGTCACATGTGCGCATTGGTTACTCAGTGTTTTTATTCAATCCGACAGTTTCTATCTACACTACATCCTTATGTGTTGTACCGTTTTAACCGTTGTGAAAATTCTGATTTCACTGTTTACCACTCTGCACACCTAATCTTTATCCAGTCTCAAAAAACGGAAAAAATTGGTAAATATAATTACTTTACCGTAATTCTATTGTTATTACACAAACTTTCCTTACACTGATAAGCACTCATTTAATCTTATCGACACAACACACCCCGATCTCCCCCGGCCCAGCCGGCGGTGGTCGATCTATTCAAATACCCGCACGGTCACTAGCTGAACTCGTTATCTATAATCCTCAATCATGAGCCGTATACAGAGTGTGTCAAGTGATGCATTTGAAAACGACTCCGATATGGATTTAGAGCCAAATGACGATTCTGATTTTCAAGTCAAATCCTCTAAAAAAAATGAAAAATCCAAGTTAAAACGTGCATTACTTCTCTCGTCAAGCTCCACCTCACCGAAAACGTCAAAAAAAAAACAACAGGTCCAGTTTGTTACAGAAAATAGGTTTGCTCCTATCTCACCTGCTACTACAGCTTCCGAACTCACTTCAAACCACTCAGCTCCAACTCAACCAACGTCATACAATACTGAAACTGACGAAGTCCAACAAATCCCAGCACCTCCACCTATTTTTGTCAGCAACATTGAAAATTTTATCAAGCTGCGCACGGACCTTATTGATCTGATTGGCACTACAAATTTCTCATTTAAATCAACCTCGAAAAATCTAAAAATTGTAACTAAAGATTCTGTTGCATACCGAAAGGTCATCAGATATCTCAAAGAAAAACAAATTGAACATCACACGTATCAGGCTCGTGAAGATAGAGCTTTCCGAATCGTAGTACGTAACCTCCATCCATCCACACCAACTTCTGAGATCGGAAATAGCCATTACTGAAATTGGCTACACAGTTCGCAACGTCAGTAACGTTTTTCACAAGACCTCTAGACAACCATTACCATTGTTTTTCGTTGATCTCGATCCTGCAGAAATCAACAATGACATTTTTCACCTAAAAAACTTACTTCATACCAAAATATCAGTCGAAGAACCTCACAAACGGCGCGAGCTTATCCAATGCACAAACTGTCAAGACTACGGCCACTCAAAAACCTACTGCGCCCACCCACCAAGATGTGTTCGTTGCGTAGGACAGCACCTAACCGCCAATTGCACCCAGCCCAAAGACCAGCCACCAACATGCACCTTATGCGGAGGCAACCACACCGCCAGCTACCGTGGATGCACTTCACACAAAAATCTCCAGCGTTTACATCGAAATTCAAGTCTGTTCTTTAAAAATTCTAAATCTAAAATTAACAATGTAACTTATGCCAACAATGTAAGCTCGGGTCAGGACCCCAGTGTGGACACTCCCCTGACTACACCAATCACACAAGACTTAAATGCATTCCCCCCTCTTCCCAATAAACCCCCTCCTGAAACACACCCAAAAACAAAGTACTCACAACGTGAAACACACAATCCCACGCAAGAAAATAACATAGTAAAACTAATGTCCACATTTTTAACTGAAATGAAGTTACTAATCAACCCGCTAATCCAATTGCTCACCACAGTAATCAACAAATTAATTTCAAATGATGAGTACTAATCCCCCCAATACTAAGTCTTTAAAAATTATACTATGGAACGCAAACGGTTTAAAACAAAACGAACCTGAATTACTACACCTTTTAATACAAAGTAAAATTGACATTGCACTAATAACGGAAACTCACTACACTTCCAATACTAATCACTTTTTCCCTGGGTTCCAAGTTTACAGAGCCGACCACCCTGACGGAACCGCCCACGCGGGATCCGCCATCTTAGTTTCAAACCAAATCCAACATTATCCACTTCAAAGCCTCCAACTGCCATCAATACAAGCAACGAATATCCAAATCGTACTAAATCATATTCCAACTACACTATCCTCTGTTTACTGCCCTCCTCTACCGGCAATAACGCCCCCTCAAATTGAAAACTTCTTAAAGTCACTCGGGCGCTCATTTATCGCCGGTGGCGATTTCAACGCTAAGAACACACAATGGGGTAGCAGATTGACAAACTCTCGAGGGAGATTATTTCTTGACAACATTCAAAAACTAGGCGGCTCTTTTATATCTCCAAGCTGTCCAACCTACTGGCCTACTCACACAAATCGTCAGCCTGACATACTAGACTTCTTTCTCACCTCAATTCCAAAACACATAAGACACAAAATTCAAAATAGTTGTGAAATTTCATCAGATCATACTCCAGTCATCCTTGAAATAAACGGCTCAATGACCTGCAAACCTCCCCGGCCCTCCCTCGTAAAAGGTCCTGTCAACTGGGAAAAATTCTCCACCATCTTAGAAAACAACACAAACTTAAAAATCTCTCTAAAAAACACCAGTGAAATTGAAATAGCGTCTCAAGACTTTGTCAACTCAATAAGAGCAGCGATCTCCAACTCATCTTATACTCCTAATCCAAACAAACCACCAAATTCAAACCAATACGATTTACCTCCCAACATAAAAGCCCTAATTATCGAAAAGCGTCGTGCACGCTCACGTTGGCAATACACCAGACTACCATCCGACAAAAAAAGATACAATCACCTGTCCAATACCATAAAAACAAAAATTCGAATCCACAAATCCGAGTTATTCGAACACAAATACGAGTCCTTATGTTCTAAAGATGGATCCTTATGGAGAACCACCAAAAATATTTTAAAAATAAAAGATCATCCCTTCCATTTAAAAAAAACAGACGGTACCTTAGCCTTCTCAGATATTGATAAAGCAAACACTTTTGGTAAACACCTATCCGAAATATTTACTCCTCATCACGATATAATTCCCGAACCAAGTCACTTAAACCAAATTACAAACTTCCTTACTAGCCCGCTACCAATGTCACTCCCTACCAAACACACATCTCCCAGAGAAATAAAAAACTTAATACAAAAGTTAAAAATCAAAAAATCACCTGGACATGACCAAATAACAAATAAAATACTTCAACATCTTCCTAAAAAATCAATAATTCTTCTCACATACATTTACAATTCTATGTTGAGAATGTCCTACTTTCCGTTAATCTGGAAACTATCTGTAATTATCCTTATACATAAACCCAACAAACCAAAAAATGAACCCTCCTCATACAGACCAATTAGCCTGTTACCAGTATTAGGGAAATTATTTGAAAAGTGATGCTTAAACGAATTAGACCCATTCTCAAGTCCCACAAAATTATTCCAAATACCCAATTTGGTTTCAGAGAAAACCACTCCACAACCCACCAGATCCACCGAATTGTCGACAAAATAGCCTCGTCGTTTGAGCTCAAAAACTTCTGTCCGGGAGTATTCTTAGACGTATCACAAGCGTTCGACCGTGTCTGGCACACCGGATTACTCTTTAAGCTAAAAATGTTCCTCCCGACTCCACTCTACTTGTTGACTAAATCATACCTACAAAACCGCTCATTTCTCGTCCGCCAAGGAGACTCCCTCTCATCACAATTCCAAATCTTAGCAGGAGTACCTCAAGGAAGTGATTTATCACCAGACCTCTACAACATTTACACAGCTGACATTCCCAACTCCGAAAATACACTGATAGCCACTTACGCCGACGACACGGCAATCCTCTCATCCCATTCCGATTCCACAACAGCATACCAAAACCTTCAAATTCATCTTGATAATATTTCAAAATGGTCCACCAAATGGAGAATAAAAATCAATTCAGACAAGTCCTTTCACATTCCTTTTACTTTGAGAAAACCTGTTCTTCCTAATATCTATTTTCAAAACAATCCAATCCAAACCACAACTCAAACCAAATACTTAGGTTTAATTTTAGACAAGCGTCTAACTTGGGGCCCACACCTCAAAATCAAAAGAAAGACTCTTAACTCCAGACTTCATCTTTTACGGCCTATTCTCAAGTCCAAACTCTCTATTGATAACAAATTACTAATATACAAATCTATGTTAAAACCTATCTGGGCCTACGGCATCCAAATATGGGGATGTGCCAAGCCTTCCCAAATACGGACTATACAAGCCTTCCAGTCTATTTCCCTTCGCCTAATAACATCTGCGCCATGGTACGTCTCAAACCTCTCACTACATAAGGATCTTAAAATTGAAACAGTCTCTAAAACAGCCAAAAACTACTACAAAAATTTACACACCAAAACAGCTAACCACACAAATCCACTGATTTCCAACTTGGCCAGTGAATTCATGCCTAACAACCCTCCACGTCGATTAAAAAGACACTGGTGTCGCGATCTCCTGAATCCCGACCAGCACTAATATAAAAAAAAAAAAAAAAAAAAAAAAAAAAATAATAATAAATAATAAAACCTCTCCCCCAAGCTAGAGGGTATCCACACTGGTGGGCCTCCCTCCTCAAGCCATTCATGTTGTTGTATTCTTTCATTACCAAATTTACTCATTGTATATATAAAATTACAGATTGTAAATATTCTATTTTATCTAATAAAAAAAAAAAAAAAAAAAAAAAAAAAAAAAAATATAATATTATTATCAATAAAAAAAAATGAATACATTTTTAAATTAACTTAATGTGTCGACTTTTTGAGGCTAGTGTATTTATTATTTCGTCTGTGGTTACGACTAAATCTCGATGAATATTTATAACAGCTAAGCCATTCGAGCGATTTTCACCAGTTGTATTTCTTAGATATGTTTTCAAGCGTCTTAATGAGGAAAAAGACGTTTCACTGCTTGCAGTTGTTACAGGTAAAGTAATCAATACTTGTAAAAGTCGATAAACAGTAGGAAATATGTCTTCGTTGCTGTCAAAGAAGGCTTCGGTAACATTTTTAGGATTTTTATTTTTTATATGTTCATACCATATTGCAAACTCACCAATTGCAGATATTTCATCAGCTTCAATATCTGAAGAATATGTCTTAAGAAGTTCTTTAAATTCGGTATCATTTTTTCATTTGCATTTATTAAACAAGTAAATTGTTTTAATAGTGATTTATGGTTCAAAAATCTATCATTTAGTTGCTCACAGAAATTATCCAAAAACGGTACAAAAATCAAAATCCTAAAATAGACTTCCGGTGATTCTGTTGAAATTCTAAAACGATTTGTTCGGTTTATAGCTAGTCGAGGTATTGAAATTGTAATCCCCAATGATAGTTGATACCATAGAGTAACACTCTAATGATGAAGTTGTAAACAAGTTGTAAATACTCTGCATTAAAAGATATCTTGTATCGTACATGAAACGAGTCAACGATAAACTGACACAGAATGGTCTAAAATAATAATTATCTAATTCCGTGTGCCCGTGTCCAGGTTTAAATTATAAAACATAGTACACCACGGTTGAGGGGGGGTGTTACTACACCTGTAACACCCCCCCTGGCTACGCGCCTGACCAAATACATAGACACTATAGTAGAACAAATAAAACAAGACCAACCACGCTATTATAAACAGACTATACAACGATAATATTATTGTTGTTATTTGTTGTTGTGGTTGCCCTGTGGAGAACGCACTCTGCTCTTGAGCCTGCAGGACCAGCGCGTGCTAAGCATGACTGCACGTATTACGACATGCCCCGGGTAATTGCATATTATGTACGTATTATAGCCCAGTGGCTTGCATGCCAATACCTTAGGCATTGTGTAGGCAGTTTTGTCGACTTTTGATAGGATACATCGTGAAAACTCGATCACAACAATCGCCGTCGAAGAGTATAATATAACCAAGGGTTTGATGAGGTTTTTAGGTCTGTTACCGGGGTGGGGTCACCAGTCTATTAAGATTTACGATTATAGGTATAATATTATCAAATACGTGTCTCTAATAAAACGAAAAACCTGAACCACGTACTACCTATAGG